ATGATCTATCTATCTATCTATCTATCTATCTATCTGTATATGTGTGTGCGTGTCTGTGTATATATATTTATATAATTTTTTTTGTTTATTTCTATCTCAATTTTTGTTTATTTCTAAATGTTTCTCTCTCTCACTATATATATATATATATATATATATATATATATATATATATATATATATATATATATATATATATATATCAGTTTCATTCTGTCTATCTCAATATATTACCTTCTATTTCAATATCTATCTATCGCTCTGTATCTATCTCAATAGCTTTATATCTCTCTATCACACTATTTATATCTATCTATCTATCTATCTATCTATCTATCTATATAAAATTTTTTTTTTCTCTCTATCTCAATAGGTTTCTATCTCTATGTCTCTCTCTCTATATATATATATTTCTATCTATCTATCTATCTATCTATCTAATATTTTTCTGTCAGTCTCTCTCTCTCTCTCTCTCTATATATATATATATATATATATATATATATATATATATATCAGTCTGTTTCTATCTGTATATATATCGGTCTTTCTATCTTTATATATCAGTTTGTTTCTATCTATCTACCCCCCCACCACCACACATATATATATATATATTCTTGAAGCAAGTTAATAAGAATATGCTCTTATTAAATGCAGTCGTGATCCGTGTACTTCTCCGGCAGATCCATTGCTGCCTTTGTCATTTCTCTCGGTAAAATCATTCTAATAAAAAAAATTCCAAATGAAAACACTTCGATAAAGAAATGAATTGATAAATAAACAAATTTATCTTACACTAGCCACAAAAAGCAAATGAATGATAAATAAAGTTGATTCTTCGTATGTTATCAAAGAAAGGAACCATCGACACCCCCTGTCTCCCTCTAAAACCTTAACTTGCATCCATAAAAAAAAGTTGATAAGATGAAAATTCGATGAATATATATTTCGTCAACCAGTCTGAAAACGTATTTAAGAAAAATGCGACCTCCAGCAGAATTCAAAACTGCGTGGCCCTAGACAGGAGAAACCGTTGGTAGATCCGAAATGCTATAACCAGATATGGGTATCCACACTATATATATATATATATATATATATATATATATATATATATATATATATATATATATATATATATATATATTACATAGAACAGAAATCCAAATTTGCCTCATTCGAATAGCTATTTCAACCAACAAGTGCTATATTGTTGGCATTGTCAACTCAGAAGTGTGAAGGAATTGAGCACACTACTAGGGGTTTTACCTGGATATTCATTTTTAGTGACTCCTCGGGATTATTCACAGAACCAAAGGATTATATAATATATATATATATATATATATATATATATATATATATATATATATATATATGTGTGTGTGTGTGTGTCCGATGCAATGAGAACGAAATAATATATAAATTCCAACGTTCACAGCATCAAAAGAGGGCTGGATAGCGATAGTAGAGCAATAATTATTTATTATAATTTTTTCATATAGACAAAATCAGTTTACTCACTACAGAGATACAACTTCGTTTGAGTTGCATCTTTGTAGTGAGTAAACTATTTTTGTCTATATGAAAAAATAAATATATATATATATATATATATATATATATATATATATATATATATATATATAATGGACTCTCCTGTCGGTTTCGACGCATGAGGATCTGACAACTTAATTGATTCAGTTATGAAATTTTGTGTGATAATCTTAAGTGGCACTTAAGGCCCGCTAGTGATTTACAAAGAAGGCTGCATCTGCAGCAAGAGTAAGGATTGTAGGATGAGATCACTGTTAGATTGGCTAATCTTTTAGATCTTGCTCTCGCTTCTTGAAGATTGAAAACTGCTGAGTCCACTAAAACACGTTGATATCCATTCTACTCGCTCCAAGGCTAAGCGCTCGTGGGTGTTATAGGGTATATTGACAGCAGACTAGTTGCTCTTCAGCTTATCTATGTATGTTAGCCATGGGCATCCTACATTCCTGTAGCCCTGATCTGTCCACCGTAATGATAAAAAAATATATATATATATATATATATATATATATATATATATATATATATATATATATATATATATATATATATATATATATATATATATATATATATATATATATATATATATATATATATATATATATATTCAAGAATTTAATTCGTTCCTGAAGGTCGTTCGTAACACAAAATGTTCATAAACCGAAACTATTTATCCAATAGTAATCAGTGTAGAGAAAAAAGTCACAGTCCAATCGAATTGGAAAAGAAAAGCACGGAACAATACACGAATGTATACAACACGGCGGTCGACTCAGAAATTCTGTTCGGGTTAACTCGGTTTGGCTATGTTGTTCGAGAACTGAAATTTTGTTCGATAACCGAGACATTTTCATCTCAAATTTTCTTTTCGGAAACCGATTTGTTTGACATGTGCGACGTTCGAGAACCGAGGTTGTTCTGTATACACTTATATATA